AATGAATGAATAATGCAATCTCAGATATAAGGTTACTGTGACAACAATACAAGCCAGTAAGGACAAAGAATGACTTGTTGGGGGAGTGGACAGAGAGGAATTCTTTATTGGAGTATGCAGCGAAGGCCTCCCCTTGGAATGATGAGGAGACACAGCCATGGGAAGAATCCTCATTCAGAGCAAAGAGCAGCAAAAGCCCTGGGGTTGGTCTGATCAGGGCATGTTTGGGAGACAGAGAGAAGACCAGCGTGGCAAGAGCAGTGTGAAGGTGGGCAGGTAAGACAAGGTGAGTCTGAGGTGGGGACAGCAACTTGCCCAGATAGGCTCTGGAGAGCATGGAGAGGCACTGGTGTTCCAAGCACAATGAGGAGCCCTGAGAGGCTCTGAGCAGGAACATTCCATGTCCAAAAAGTAATTCACATTTTATTATTTTTTTATAGAGACAGACAGGGTGTCACTCAGTCACCCAGGCTGGAATGCAGTGGCACAATCTCAGCTCACTGTAACCTCTGCCTTCTGGGCTCAAGTGATCCTTCCACCTCAGCTTCCTGAATAGCTGGGACTTACGGGTGCAGGACACCATGCCCAGCTAATTTTTGTAATTTTTGTAGAGACAGGATCTCTCTATGTTGCTCAGGATGGTGTCGACCTCCTGGGCTCAAGTGATCCACTCACCTTGCCCTCCCAAAGTGCTGGGTTTACAGGTGTGAGCCACCATGCCTGGCCAACGATTGACATTTTATGATGGCTACTCTGTCTGCCATGTGGAAAATGTGTAACTGCTCAATGGGGAATTGCAATAGAGAAAGTGTTTAATTCACACAGAGCTGGCTGGAGTTTTATTATTACTCAAGTCAGTCTCCCTGAAAATGCAGGAATTGGGGCTTTTAAGGATCATTTGGTGGGTAGGGGATTGGGAAGTGGGGAATGCTGACTGGTTGAGTCAAAGATGAAATAATAGGGGGTTAATGACCAGGCACAGTAGCTCAGTAGCTCACAACTGTAACCCCAGCACTTTGGAAGGTCGAGGGGGCAGATCATTTGAGGGCAGGAGATCGAGACCAGCCTGACCAACATGATGAAACCCTGTCTCTACCAAAAATTCAAAAAAATTAGCCAGGCATGGTGGTACATGCCCGTAGTCCCAGCTACTTGGGAGGCTGAGTCAGGAGGATCACTTGGACCCGGGAGGTGGAGGTTGCAGCGAGCCAAGATCACGCCACTGTATTCCAGCCTGGGTGATAGAGCAAGACTCTGCCCCATCCCCCCCGCAAAAAAAAAAAAAAAGAAATCATAGGGGCTTAAAGTGGGTTTTTCTTACTGTCTTCTGTTCCAGCGTAGGATCACAGAACTGGTTGAGCCAGATTACCAAGCACTAATCTTAGATGATGTCGTTATCCCCAGGAGCAATTTGAGGAAGATAGAATCTTGCAGCCTCCAGCTGCATGGCTCCTAAACCATAATTCCTAATCTTGTAGCTAATTTGTTAGTCCTACAAAGGCAGACTAGTCCCCAGGTAAGAAGGAGGTTTGTTTTGGAAAAGAGCTGTTTCTTTGTTTCAAAGTTAAACTATATATGGCTGTTACAAAGTTAAACTATAAACTAAGTTCCTCCCAAAATTAGTTCAGCCTATTCCTGGGAATGAACAAGGACAGCTTAGAGGTTATTAGCAGGATGGAATTGATCAGGTCAGATCTCTTTCACAGTAATCATTTTCACTGTAAATTTTTGCAAAGGCAGTATCAATTGGACTGGGAGAGATAAGAGAGGAAGCAGGAAATGAATGTAGAGGGCCATGGTAGGGGTGCAGGCAGGAGAAGAGGGTGGCTGAGGTGGTGCAGAGAAGTGGGCAGTCATGATTTGCTTCTGATGGAGAGCCAGCAGGACCTATGCGCAGACCAGCTGCAAGCCGCAGGAAGGAGAAAGCAGCAATGATGCTTGTGGGGTTTACGACGGAAGAACACTGGGCGGCCAGGCAAGTTGGTGGGGAAAACAAGAGTGCTTTTGGCCACACTGTTATCTAATAAGACAAGTTGCAATGCAAGCAGAGATGCTGAGGAGGCCTGAGGAGTGTAGCGCTCAGGGGAGACAGAAGAGAAACAGTTGAAGGAAAATGTGCTGGGGAGGGGGAGTGTGTGAGCGTGGGGAGGTGAGTGGGTGAGCACATGTGCACACATATTGGATTTCATTTTCACATTTTCTCTCTTTCTGCTTTATTAGTGACCTAGAAACAGATACAACTATGTAAAAAAACAAAATAAAACTTCTATATGGTGGAGTGGCATTTCTCCTATGCCATGGTTTTGTGAGGATTAAATAAATTAATACATGTTAAGATGGTTAGAAAAGTGCCTGGCAAATAGTCAGTGCTCACTGCATATTATTTTTACTTCAATTCAAATGGAAAAAGACTAGTTTACCTAGCAAGGGGTTTTTGCATAACTTAATTTCCATTTTGAAAAAATGTCAGATGCTGTTACACTTAAGTGACAATACATTTCATATCAATTAAATATGTACATGGAAGAAGTCATACTAGGCAAGTATGAGAAAAACAGCTGATTGAATAGTTAGTTGCCTGACCTTGACATAAAGTAGGAAGTTTTAGACCACACAGAAAACCCAGATCCAATAATGAAAGGAGTGACTTGTTTGATCACATACAAAATTCTGTAAGATTTTTAAAAAGTTATAAATTATGTCAAAGATAAGGAAGAGGTGAGTAAGGAAATATTGCATCATATAGGACAAGCAGAAAATGAATTTAACCAAAATAAAAGATTTTCTAGAAATTGATAACCCAACAGGAGATTTCTCATCATAAGAGAAAATGCAAACTATCAAGGGATAAATGAAAAGAGGTTTTGCCTTTCACCCATCCAATCTGACCCCGCCTTCTCAGTCATTCATGCTGGGAATATGAATTGCTACAACCTTTTCTGGATGATCTGGCATATAAAAAATGTGCATATTATTCTACACAGTAATTTCCCTTTTAGGAATTCAGACAACAGAAATAAAAAGCACCAGTATACACACGATTTTTGCTGTTACACTGTATGAACTAGCAAAGCACTAAAATTTTTTTGAATGATCATTAATAGGAAAATAAATTATGGTCATTAAATAAATTATGTTTTGAAGGTTCTTTGAACTGGTTGACTGTACTATAGTCAAGCCATGGTGTCCCCTGTGATCCACAGGTATACCTCCAGATGGCCTCCCGAAGCCAGAAAGTCTGAGGTAACAGGAAAACTCCAAAAGGCAAATAGCTAGCTCCTTCAGTGCCTGATTAACTAAACTTGCAACATTCCACCATTGTTCCTGCCTCAACTGATAAGTCAACCTTGTGACACTGGATCCTGTAGCCTGATTAACCAACCTTGCAACATTACTGTTTCTGCCTCAACCGATAGGTCAACCTTGTGACACTGGACTCTGTGACCACTCCCCACCCCCACGATGGCCTGCAAAAAATGCCCTGGACTGTAACTTTTCACTGCCTACCCCAGACCTATAAAACCAGCTCCTATCCCACCACCCTCTGCTGACTCTTTTCAGACTCAGCCTGCTCGTACCTGAGTGAATAAGCAGCCTCATTTCTCACACAAAGCCTGTTTAGGTAGTCTCTTCATTCAAAGGGTGCTTAACATTTGGTGCTAAAACCTGGGATGGGGCACTCCTTTGAGAGACCAGTCCCCTGTCCCCGCTCTCCCTCTGTGAAGAGACCCACCTGTGACCTCAGTGCTAGGCATGATAGTGAGCCTAGTTCCCAGCTACTAGGGAGGCTGAGTCAGGAGAATCCTTTAGCACAGCCCAGGAATTCAAGAATACAGTGAACTGTGATCACACCACTGCACACCAGCCTGAGCAACGGAGTGAGGTCCCATCTCAAACAAACAAACAAACAAACAAAGGTTAAACAAGGGCCCACTATCCAGAATACATACATAAAAAAACACAACTCATCAACAAAAAGACAAAAAAAAACCCAGCTAAAAAAATGAGCAAAGAACTTGAATACCCAAATACACAAATTGCTAACAAGCACATGAAAAGCTGCTCAAAACCATCAGTTGCCAGGGAAATGTTAATCAATACCACAGCGAGATGCTACATCACACTCACTAGGAGGACTAAATAAAAAAATTTTTTTTAATGAAAACAAATGTTGGTGAGGATATGGAGAAACTGGAACCCTCATTAAGCACAGAATTACCACATACTTCAACAGATCTACTCTTAGGTATTATACCTAAAAGAACAGAAAACAGACACTCAAACAAATGCACGAACACACGTGTTCACAGCAGCATTCATCCGTAACGGCCAAAAGGTAGAAACAATTCAAACGTCCATCCACTGATGAATGACAAACCATTGTGATTTCAGCCGTACAAAGGAGTATGTTATTCAGCCATAGAAACAAATGACGTACTGATACACGCTCCAGTACTGATACTGATACAAGGTGGATGAACCTCAGAAACATTATGCTAGGTGAAAGAAGCCAGACACAAAAGGTCGCATATTGTATGAGTCCATTTATGTGACATGGCCAGAACAGGTCAATCCACAGAGACAGAAAGCGGGCCGGTGGCTGCCCAGGCCTGGGAGGAAGCGGAGACTGGGCAGTAAGCCCTTCGTGGAGTTGGCTGTCCTTTGGCGTGATCGAAATATTCTGGAAATAGCAGAATGGTGCTTGCACCACATTGTACATGTACTAAACGCCACTGAATTGTTCACCTTAAAATGGTCAATATGACGTTATGTGAATTTCACTTTAATTACAAAAAGAGAAATGCTGGCGTTTGCGCAGGTGGAAGGCAGGCCGGACTGGGAACGCCCCTCTCCGCGGCGTTGAGGTGGGCCGCGCTTCCGCTCCCCGCCCCCCACCCCTCGCGCCGGGCGAATCTGGAGAGCGACGCGGTGGCGGAGCAACCACCACAGGGCTGTCAGAGAGAAGGCGAGCCGGGAGGAAGATGGAGAGGCGGGTGGCAGCCTCACCTCCGGACTCGGCCGCCACACCACGATCAAGCCGCTCCGCCCAGCCTCAAGTCTGATTCGTAACTCCTCCGAGGACCTGAGGGGACTGGGCATGCCAAGGGGTGGAACTGAAAGGCTGGGGACGCGGCGGGCGGGTGGGGCTGCCTCCGGGCTGGGCACGCCTCCACGCCGGACTGGACTGGAAGGAAAGCGGAACCTCTCTGCCTAGCGTGCCTCTTTCCGGAAGCTACTTGAGTCTGGACACCAACATCGGCGACGCTGGGGAGCAGACTTCCGGCGCTCTATTTTCTCATCGGGTACGTGCGGCGAGGAAGCGGCGGCGGCGATGAGACAGAAACACTACCTTGAGGCTGCGGCGCGGGGACTGCACAACAGCTGCCCGGGCCAAGCCCGCTATCTTCTGTAAGAGGACGGGAGATGAAGCGGGAGGCGAGCGGGGAGCTGTTCCTTTTTCCCCCTCACAAGTCTTTTTCTCTTTTACAGCTGGGCCTACACTTTGTCGCACGGTAAGAACGCCTATCCCTTGTGCCTTAGGCTCTTGTCACCCCGCTTTCCTCCATTCTGCACAACGCTCAAATAAGGCCGATGGACTCACTCCCCTCCTTAACAAAACCCACATTCTTCGACAAAATCCACGTGCTTCTCAGTTTTGTGAAAAATCCAAATTCCTTAATGTGCCTTGTCTTGCTTTGTTAGAGGCACTTGACACATTGATCAGTCATCTCGAAGTAGTTTTCTCCCTTGGCTTCTAGGTCATTACGTAGTTCACCTCCTTTTTACGTATTTATTACTTATCGATTTGCTTTGCTGGTTCCTCCTAATCTCCCTAAGCTTTAAGTATTGCCGTGTTCCAATACTCAGCCCTTGGACCTCTTTTCTAGGTACACTTCCTGATAGTTTTTCATCGAGTCTCGTGTCTTTTAAATACCACATACTTAGGACTTACAAATTTATATACTCAGCGCAGATCTCTCCTCTGAATTTTAGACTCAGACATCCACATGTCTTCTTGACCAATTCTTTTCAATATCTAGTAATTTCAAACTTAGCTAATGTGTCCAAAACCTGAGCTTTACCCCCAACAAGATCCTCCAGTTTTTCTCATTTCAGTAAATAATTCCATCCTTCCTTTATAGTTATTGGACCCCCAAAACCTTGGAGCCGTTCTTGACTCCCTAACAATTCTCCTCCCAGCAAATCCTGTTGGCTTTAAAATATATCCAGAATCGGCCAGGAGCGGTGGCTCTTGCCTGTAATCTCAGCATTCTGGGAGGTTAACATGGGTGGATCACTTGAGGCCAGGTGTTCGGGACAAGCCTGGCCAACATGGTGAAACCCCGTCTCTACTAAAAATACAAAAAAATTAGCCTGGTGTGGTGGTGCACGCCTGTAATCCCAGCTACTCTGGAGGATGAGGCATGAGAATCTCTTGAACCCGGGAGGCAGAGATTGCAGTGAGCGGAGACGGATTGCACTCTACTCCTCACCACATCCATTGCTACCACCCTGCTCCAGGCCATCACCGCCCCTGTCCTGGATTACTGCTAACAGCTCCCATGTGTTTTTAGTGCGTTCTCAAGCCAGCAGCCAGAGTGAATCTGATAAAAACCAAAGCTAGATCGTGTCTCTTCTCGGCCAGAAACTCAGATGGCTTCCCATCTCCCAGTAAAATGAAAGTCCTTTAAAACGATTGTAAGGCCCCGGTATCATAGGCCCACTTACCTCTCTGACCTACTCTCTTTCCCTCACGCAACTTGTCACACTCGGCCTCCTTGCTGTTCTCTTTCAGGGCCTTTGCAGCTACTTTTCACTCTGCCTGGGATTCTTGCCTCACATACCTGCTTCCATTAGAATCCTCCATTTCCCTCTGGTCTCTATGATATCACTCAATGAAGCCTTCCCTCGCCACCTGTTTAAAATTACAGTAACTCCATCAGCACTTCTATTCCCCTTTCCTGTCTTACTTTTTTATTCCCAGCACTTAACATTTGATGATGTTATATTTATTATATGCCTCAGTGAATTCTTCTTTTTTCACTGCTATGTCTCCAGCACTCAGAACAGTGCCTGGTGTTGTCACTTAGTAAATATGAATGAATTTCACATTTGGCAGAGCTAAGTTTAAGTGTGGTCTTTGGTTTTATAAGTTCTGTTATATCCCTGACACTTAGCACAGTGCTCAACACTGGGTACTAAATAAATATTCATTGTGTTAATTGTTTAAAAACAGAAACAATCGCAGTGCAATTTGTTATTTTGTGGTAAATGCATTGGTAAGATTGGTGAAACATAACAGCCTTTTAAAGCTTACTAGCAAGTAATGAGGAGTGGCCAGATTTTGGATATATTTTAAAGCCTATAGGATTTGCTAGCTTAAGTTGGAGATTTGCCTGTTTGTTGCTGAAAAGAGTGAATGGATGGAATTACAGTATTTTGCACACTAAATTACTGCCAATTTATCTTTTTGTAAATTTTCATACTTTGAGTCTGCTTAAGAATGTATATCTGCTTATATTAAATATCAATATACTTTTTATAATGTTGGTATTTTGAGGTAACAAAATAATTGTGATTTGCTGAATTGTGAGTTTCATTTGTATAATTTTAGATGATAAGAGCACTTTTGAAGAAACGTGTCCCTACTGTTTCCAGTTTTTGGTTCTGGATAACTCTCGAGTGCGTCTCAAACCCAAAGCCAAGATGACACCCAAAATACAGAAACTTCTTAATCGAGAAGCGAGAAACTATACACTCAGTTTTAAAGAAGCAAAAATTGTCAAAAAGTTCAAAGACTCTAAAAGTGTATTGGTAAGATTTCAGTTCCAGTATCTGTGAGTAAACTAGAATTTTCTTTCACTTAAAATCAGTTTAAGAATCAGCCTTGAGGCCGGGCGTGGTGGCTCAAGCCTGTAATCCCAGCACTTTGGGAGGCCGAGGCGGGTGGATCACGAGGTCGAGAGATCGAGACCATCCTGGTCAACATGGTGAAACCCCATCTCTACTAAAAATACAAAAAAATTAGCTGGGCATGGTGGCACGTGCCTGTAATCCCAGCTACTCAGGAGGCTAAGGCAGGAGAATTGCCTGAACCCAGGAGGCGGAGGTTGCGGTGAGCCGAGATCGCGCCATTGCACTCCAGCCTGGGTAACAAGAGTGAAACTCCCGTCTCAAAAAAAAAAAAAAGAATCAGCCTTGAGATAACTCAGAGATTTATAGTAGTATATTTGTATTATCAAAATATATAAACATTTCTCTAATGATTAGTGTTTCATTATAAGGACAGCTTATTTTTATTTTTCATGATTACCTAAACCAAACATCATGAGCTCTCAATTGTTTTGAGATCCCATTTTTGAGCATTATTTTTCACAAATGTGAGGATTTCTTGAGCTGACCATTATGACTCCACCTGAATTGCAGTTACCACTCCATTATTTTTTCAGTTAATGGTCCTTTGCTTCAAACAGTAGTGTTATATATGTAGGTGTCATGTCACTTCTTCAGCTGTCCTCCCACTCCATATGAGAGTGTGTATTTACAGCTATGTCCAATAAAGGTGAATGCATCTTTTGCTTTTTAAACATTTTATTGAGGGACTATCATATGCCAAGAAATATTTAATATTGGGGATATAAGATGGAATAAAACAACCAAAATCAAATTACTTACAGTTTTCTATATAGAGGCCAGTAGCAGATAGACTTTATGTCCTGCATATTCATTGCTAACGTTTATCAGCTATTCAAGTGCCTGCTTATTGTCCAGCACTGTGCTGGGCACTGGACATTATGACAGCTTATGTCTGGCCTAAGACTATAATTAGTAATTACTTGATTGAAAATTGCCATATTTAGGAGTTTACCAGTGTTGGACAGTTAGGTGCATTTTGCTTTGTCATAAAATTAAATGGTTAAAGGGAAAGAGAAGAGATAGAATATTGAAGTGATACAGAATTCAGTTTCTTCGTTCTTGGAGAATTGTATTTTTCAAAAAATACTACTGCCACATGTTTGGAAAATGTTCTTAAATGGGAAGATAGTAAATGCTACCTCACTGTCTTGCAGTGTTTTGCCCTCATGAAACTTATATTCTAATGTATTTTAATCAAAAGTCAGCTAGAAAGGCGCTGACTAAAGGCATTTGTTTTTCTGATTGATTTTAATCTGTATACAGCCTCCTTCCAAAAGGTGTAAAGCAACACAGACCTTTGATAGATACAGATCTTCCATTGGTATTTTCATCTGCTCATGAACATCAAACTACTCACTTAAACTAGTTTATATCAATTTGCTGAGGCATGGGCTGAATCCTGTGCATAGTGAGTTAGATATGTAGAATTCATTAGGAAATGGACCATTTATTGAGAAGTGAATCTTGAAAAGAAAGTCAACCTCTAGAGCTAATGATGAGTGAAGAGGTGTGAGAATATAACAACTCATTTGGTTGTATAAGTTACATTAGACCAATATTTTAGACCTATAAAATTGCTAAGGATTTGAAGGGGCTACTTAGATTTCCAGTGACATTCTGCTTTGTTTTTTTTTACGGTGGGAAGAGGCTTGAAGTTAATCTGCAAAAAATATTAAATGCTTACTGCTCTTACAAAGACTATTTCTCCAGATGTTAAAGAGTATCATCTCCCATCTTTTCCCTAATTCTCCCCAAACATGGTTTTATATTTAAAAATAGAGAGTTCACTATATTTGAAAACCTATTTTAAATTAAATACAAATGTTTAGCCATTCATTTCTTATTGAACATTTTCTCATTTTAAATTTGTCTTGTTGGCGAGGTGCAGTGCCTCCAGCCTATAATTCTAGTACTTTGGGAGGTCAAGGCAGGTAGATTGCCTGAGGTCAGGAGTTCAAGACCAGCCTGGCTAACATAGCCAAACACTCTCTATACTAAAATACCAAAATTAGCCAGCGCAGTGGCAGATGCCTGTAGTCCCAGTTACTCAGAAGGCTGAGGCAGGATTGTTTGATCCAGGGAGGCAAAGGTTGCAGCGAGTCAAGATCGCACCACTGTACTCCAGCCTGGGCAACAGAACAAGACTGTCTTTAAAAAAAAAAAAAAAAAGTGTTGTCCAGTTCTTGCCACTAGATTGCAAGTTCTCCAAGTGCAGCCTCTATTTTACTTACCCCCGTAGTATGTGGTATAATCTCTGACATTTAAGAATTCAATGAACATGTGGTTTATGGGGTTACACTGTAAGATAAATGACAGGACTGACATTTCTTCTTTTTCTGGTAGTTGATCACTTGTAAAACATGCAACAGGACAGTGAAACATCATGGTAAAAGCAGAAGCTTTCTATCAACATTGAAGAGCAATCCTATCACTCCTACAAGTAAACTCACCCTAAAAACACCAGAGAGAAGGACTGCAGACCCAAATCATGATAAGTTTGGTTCCAAAGGCAAGAGTCCAGCATTGATTTTCAGGTATCTTAATCCATGAACTCTTTGAATTGCCAATGTTAACTCAAGTGTTTTCTTCTAATTTTTTGTGTTTAATATGTACTCCCTAAATATGCCATGCATTTCAGGACTTGGCCATGTTTCCTCCATACCCTTTTCTAATGTCACATACTCCCATATCTTCAATGCTCACGTCAATGCATTTGACTTCTAGGTATGTTACTCTACTTCCAACTTCTCCTGGGCCTATTTCCAGCTGCCTGCTAAATATATCCGCTTCAGTCCCCTACATATTCAAAACTTAGTTCATCATTTCCCCACAGCTAACCACTCAAACTGCCCCTACTCCTGAGTTCCTTATTTTGTGAATGAACATACCTTTGTGGACATTTTGACCTAAAATGACAGGTATATTCAAAAATCCGTATTCCCTTGGTCCTTGTCACCGATTTCTGTATATTTTACTTCCATGCTGTTTTCATCTTTTTGCTCTTTTTTCTCCCTAATGCTGCTATATTCTGGTTTCAGTCCTTATGCACCATTTGTCAGGACTACTGCAATGATTTTCCTAATGGATCTCCCTGTTTCCAGGATCAAACTCTTCTAGTGTGTTCATCTTTCTGGAGCATAGCTCTGATTAGAATTATCACTCTGTAGCATATGGACCAATGCTTTAGCATGGCTTTCCAGGCCTGTCTGGCACCAATCTGCCTGCCTGTCTTACTTTGCCTTAATTCTTCCTTTGTGCCGACAGAACTGAATCATTCACGGCCGGGTGTGATGGCTTACGCCTGTAAATCCTAGCACTTTGGGAGGCCGAGGCAGGCAGATTCCCTGAGCTCAGGAGTTCGAGACCAGCCAGTGCAACATGGTGAAACCCCATCTCTACTAAAATACAAAAAATTAGCCAGGTGTGGCAGTGTGTGCCTGTAGTCCCAGCTACTTGGGAGGCTGAGGCAGGAGAATTGCTTGAGCCTGGGAGGCAAAGGTTGCAGCGAGATGAGATGGCACCACCGCACTTCAGCCTGGGCGGCAAAGCAAGACTCCATCTCCAGAAAAAACAAACGTGAACCATTCACAGTATACTTTCTTGCCCTAAATGTTTGTTCTTGCCCTTAACTCTGTCAGAAATTCCTGAGGAAATCTAACTGAACAGGGATTTATCAAATGATACTACACCAAGGATAGCCATTGCCTGTATATATCCATAATACAAAAGAGTAGAAAATGATTGTCATATGTTGGTATAACTAAGTGTGGTTTTGTTTCTTTTCAGAACACCTACATCTGGACAGTCAGTATCTACTTCCTCCTCAAAGAATATGAGTAAAACAAAGAAACATTTCTCTCAACTAAAAATGTTACTTAGTCAAAATGAATTCCAAAAGAATCCAAAGGTGGACTTCAGAAATTTCTTATCTTCTCTGAAGGGTGGACCTTGAAAATAAGAAATGCCTGATGTCAATCCTGAAACAATAGTAAAACAACTTTTTAAACTTTTATTTCTTGAATACATGGAAACTAGATCTGAATGCAAACTTTTCTTGGCATTCTTTGGGAAAATACCTCATTAGTATGAATACTCGAAACCTGCCTACCTCATAGGATGGTTGTGAAGATCAAAAAATACATGAAAGTTCTTCGTAGATGTGTATGTATAGATATATATGTGTATGTATATAAAGCTATGTATGTACATTGAGTAGTGGCATTACTATTTTTTCTTCCTTTAGTTAGCAGTTTTTATGTATGTTATTTTCTTTCAAAAGGGAATTGAGATCTTTATGAGAGGGTCTATTCACTCATGAGGTTTCTTCCATGTGTCTATAGCATTATTGATAATTCAGGGAAAGGATTAGGTGGGTCCTTATTTTCTCACAATTATCTGCATAACTGCCTTAGTAAAACCTGAACCTTATTCCCATTTTGAATGCAAAAGTAAGTATCTGGAACATTCCTGATTATAGATCACTCAATGGGAGACTAAAATTTTCTTTCTGTTTAGAAAAGGGAACATACTGTTGGTGATACTATAAATAAGTACAGCAACTTTGGAAAAAACAGTATGGAGGTTCCTCAAAAAACTAAAGGTAGAATTACCATATGATCCCACATCTGGGTATATATCCAAAGAAATTGAAATCAGTATGTCAAAGAGATGTTTACCCTACAATGTTTCATTGTAGTGTTACAATAACCAAGATACGGAAACAACAGAAATAATTGTCAAAGGATGGATTTTTTAAAAATCTGGTGTGTTTATGCAATGGAATACTATTCAGCCTTTAAAAAACAAGAAATTCTAAGAAATATATGAGGCCAACAAACACGAAAAAATACTCATCATCACTGGTCATCAGAGCAATGCAAATCAAAACCACATTGAGATACCATGTCATGCCAGTTAGAATGGTGATCATTAAAAAATCTGGAGACAACAGATGCTGGAGAGGATGTGGAGAAATAGGAAAACTTTTACATTGTTGGTGGGACTGTAAATTAGTGCAACCATTGTGGAAGACCGTATGCCAATTCCTCAAGGATCTAGAAATAGAAATACCATTTGACCCAGCAATCCCATTACTGGGTGTATACCCAAAGAATTATAAATTGTTCTATTATAAAGACACATGCACAGATATGTTCATTGTGGCACTATTTACAATAGCAAAGACTTGGAACCAACCCAAATGTCCATCAGTGATAGACTGGATAAAGAAAATGTGGCACATACACACCACGGAATTTTATGCAGCCATAAAAAACGGTGAGTTCGTGTCCTTTTAGGGACATGGATGAATCTGGAAGCCATTCTCAGCAAACTGACACAAGAACAGAAAACCAAACACCACATGTTCTCACTCATAGGCAGATGTTGAACAGTGAGAACACAGACGCAGGGAGGGGAGCATCACACTGCAGTCAGTTGTGGGGGCTACAGGAGGGACAGCAGGGAGTGGGGAAGGTGGGGAGCGATAACGGGAGAAATACCAGATTTAGGTGATGGGGGAATGAAGGTGGTAAACCATCTTGCCATGTATGTCCTTAAGCAACAATCCTGCAAGATCTGCATATGTACCCCAGAACCTAAAGTACAATTAAAAAGAAATTGTCAGTTATGGTAATGTGGATGAACCTAGAAGACATGCTAACTCAAATAAGCCAGACATGACAAATGCTATATTATTTATACGGGATCTAAAAACGTAGAACTCGGAGGATATAATGGTGAATACTGGAGGCTGTGGTTGGGAATGGGATGAGTAGAAAGGAAAAGGCAAATTTTAAGAGGAGTAAGTTCCAATGATCTGTTGTACAGCATGGTGACTATAGTTAATACATATTTCAAAATAGCTGAAAGAGGGTTTTTTTTTTTTTTTTTTTTTTTTTTTTTTGGTAGAGGCAAAATCTTACTATGTTGCCCAGGCTGGTCTTGAACTCCTGGCTTCAAGCAGTCCTCCCACCTCTCCCTCCCAAAGTGCTGGGATTGCAGGTGTGAGCTACAGTGCCCAGCCAAAAGAGAGGGTCTTCTAATGTTCTCTCCGCAAAGAAATGATAAATATTTGAGGTGATGGATCTATTAATTAGCCTGATTGGATTATTCCAGAGTGTATACATGTAATGAAACATCACATTGTGTCCCATAAATATATGCAATTATTTGTCAATTAAAAAACTCAAAAGGCCAAAGTTAACCACTTGATCTTATAGTTGCATGAAATGAAATTGTGCTAGCTGGTGCCACCACCAAAAGGCCAGGTGTTCACTTTGTGTCCACAACATCTAGCACAACACAACGGTCATGGTAGCTGCTTTATCCTTCTGGCTAATTTCTCTCTAGAACATTTGTTTCTCTTGAACTCTTCTTGCTCCTGATAGTGAGCTCTTTGCAGTTCTCAATATATACCATGTACTTGTCAGCTTTGGGCCTTTGCACGTGCTTTTTTCCTTTAGGACTCACTTTGGAGACTGCCCTCCACCCAACCCCACTGCATTATGAGAGGCCACTCTTATCACAGTTCTGGTGACCCTGTAGTTTGTTTCTGATCATTACCAACTGCCTGTGAGCTCTTTGCAGACCTGAGTGGTCTCACTTGTACCCCCAGCACCTAGTTTGTTGCCCAGCACATAGCACAAGATAGTTCTAGACTACTACATTTAATGAGTTGTACCTGTTCCACACTAGAACTAAGAACTAAGGTCTTTCTGAGCACATGATTGCAAAGTAGATAAAAAGTAGTAAAGACAGGAACATTTAGGTGGTAAGTTGTTCACATTACTTCAGTTGCAAGTGAAGGACACCACAGATTCTTGACTTTTCTGTTTGGCAGAAAGGTCTGGGCATTTCTAAAGGGAACATTTAAAAGTTGAAGTGTGGAGATAAAACTATAAAACCTTTAGAAGATACAGGAGTAAATCTTCATAACCCTGGAATATGCAGTGGTTTCTTAGATAGGACACCAAAAGTACAAGCAATAACAAGAAAAATAAACAGATAAATTGAGCTTCATCAAAATTAAAGACTTGTGTGCTCTGTTCGAAGGACACCATCAAGCCGGGCGCGGTGGCTCAAGCCTGTAATCCCAGCACTTTGGGAGGCTGAGACGGGTGGATCACGCGGTCAAGAGATAGAGACCATCCTGGTCAACATGGTGAAACCCCGTCTCTACTAAAAATACAAAACATTGGCTGGGCTTGGTGGCGCGTGCCTGTAATCCCAGCTACTCAGGAGGCTGAGGCAGGAGAATTGCCTGAACCCAGGAGGCAGAGGTTGTGGTGAGCCGAGATCGCGCCATTGCACTCCAGCCTGGGTAACAAGAGCAAAACTCCATCTCAAAACAAAAACAAAACAAAACAAAAAAAACAAAGGACACCATCAAGAGAGTGAAAAGTCAGCCCCTGAATGGGAGAACACATTTGCAAATTATATACAAATACTCTCCTACTTATCAACTTGAGATTTGTTAACATTACGATGGGTTTTCCAGGACATAACCCATCCTAAATTGAGAAGCATTTATATCTGTTAAGGGACCTATATCCAGAATTATAAAGAATGCCTAAAATTCAAAAATAAAAAGACAAAAGATGGTTAGAATCTGAACACAGTTCTCCAACATGGCTAATGAACATATGAAAAGATACTTCATACCTACTAGGCTGACTCACAAACACAGGACAAGTGTTGAAGATGTGAAGAAATTGGAACCATCACACATTGCTCCTAGGATTGTAAAATGGTGGAGTCACTTTGGAAGTTTGGCAGTTCCTCAAAATTTAAACAGAGTTACCATATGACCCAACAATTCCACTCAGGCTTATGCCCAAGAGAATTGAAAACAGATGTCCACACAAAAACCTATATATGAATGTTCATGGCAGTAGTGTTTATAATATGCATAAAATGAAAATTTCAAAATAGCTAAAATAATATTTTTTGAATGTCCAGCAACTGTTGAATGAACAAAATGGGTGTTCCATACGGTGGAATGGTAATATTCAGCCATAAAAGAATTACTGATACATGCTAGGATATGAATGACCCTTGAAAACATATTAATTGCAGGAAGTCAGACACCAAAGACCACATATGGTGTGATTCCCTTATTTGTTTTTGAGATGGAGTTTTGCTTTTGTGGCCCAGGCTGGAGTGCAATGGTGTGATCTTGATTCACCACAACCTCCTGGGTTCAAGCAATTCTCCTGCCTTAGCCTCCCTAGTAGCTGGGGTATAGGCACCTGTCACCACACCCAGCTAATTTTTTGTATTTTTAGTAGAGACAAGGTTTCACTATGTTGACCAGGCTGGTCTCAAACTCGACCTCAGATGATCCATCTGCCTCAGCCTCCCAAAATACTTGGATTACAGGGGTAAGCCACCATGTCTGGCTGTGTGATTCCGTTTATATGGGATGTTCAGAATAGGAAAATACATAGAAATAGACAAGCGGTTGCCAGAGGAATAGGGAGAATGGGGAGCAACTCCTAATGAGTATGGGATTTCTTTTTAGGGTGATGAAAATATTCTGGGATTAGATAGTGAACATTGTTGTGCAATTCTGTATGTACTAAAAACAAAATTCTACACATTGAAAACATAAATTTTTTGTCAACTATCCTTTAAAAAGTAAACATTACCTTAAATTTAATGTAGACATTTAATTTTTAAGTCCTGTAAAGAGAAGCAGCAGAGGTGCAACGTAGGCTCAGACTTTGAGCAGCTCTAATTTCATGGCTTTCCTGGGCCTCCGCCATATTGCCATAGGGCTTCTCACATGCTTCTGCATCCTTCTGGCTACAGCAGTGCTTCCTGAAGACAGCTCGACTTAGCCCTGGGCTGCTTTCCTAGTCATGGGCGGTGGAACCTGGACTATGTGGCTAGAGTACCACTGACCCTGTGGACCAGCAAGCCTAAGTTAAAGGTTAAAGGCAGCTATCATGAGAATGAAAAGGAGGCCCTCACCAGCCAAAAGGGGACGGATGGGGTAAGCAGAACCCTATTAGAAAAATAAGCCAACAGCAATGACTGGGAAGAGGGCAAGAGGGGACAAAAACTGATGTGCTTTGTTAATGACACAAAGAACTCTGGGATGACAGAGTTGACAATCTGGAGGCCAAAATCATCTCTGACAATACCCTAGTTCTTAAGTGTGCACTATTCTCCCCCTCAGCACAGCCCTTTGGGCCTTTTACACAAGGGTA